ACTGGAGATGATACTAACAACTGAAACATGTTTTTTCAAATATATCACAAAACCACTGATTCATCCTTCTATAAGTTTATATTAACTTGTAGTAGATGTATATACACTCGAGTTAACTTTACAGGATATCGTGAAATCTAGATCCTAGATTCTACATTCTAGGGTTCTAGTTCTTGGATTCTAGAAACTAGAAACTAGAAACTAGAAAGCTCTTTTCCTATCGGACGTTGAAACAGACTACTGAGAACTCAGCCTCCACTTTATACAGGGTATATATACTCCAGTATACAGTATACAGGGTATATATACTCTAGTATACAGTATACAGGGTAATGGTATATTTATGTACTCCAGTATAAATATACAAGGTGTATATTCTCCAATATACAGTATACAGTAAAAAAAAAGAAAATCTTATATATAATACAACCAATGTATCTTAGCGCAGGGCGCTTAATTGTAACCAGACCTTTATATAATGTATTTTATGTGTTTGAGAAACCATTAACAGTGCATGCAATGAAAACAGAACTAAAGTGAGGGGGACAAGGTTTGTTTACAATATACTGTGACGTATCAGGACAGCTTTACACGTGTTTTATTGTAAACTATAGCAAAGATTGTGAACAGTGTTTTATTTCTGAAAATAATTGCTGCAACGAAATGTTGATAAATGTACTAGTTCTGTACACTGTTCTCCTTAACTAGTTCTTTACCTCTGTGGATATTCTTCTCTCCTTATATCTATGCTCCTTGGGTATTCTTCTCTCCTTAGATCTATACTCCTTGGGTATTCTCCTCTCCTTAGATCTAAGCTCCTTGGGTATTCTCCTCTCCTTAGATCTATGCTCCTTGGGTATTCTCCTCTCCTTAGATCTATGCTCCTTGGGTATTCTTCTCTCCTTAGATCTATGCTCCTTCTGTATTCTCCTCTCCTTAGATCTATGCTCCGTATTCTCCTCTCCTTAGATCTATGCTCCTTGGGTATTCTTCTCTCCTTAGATCTATGCTCCTTCTGTATTCTCCTCTCCTTAGATCTATGCTCCTTGGGTATTCTCCTCTCCTTAGATCTATACTCCTTGGGTATTCTCCATGCTCCTTGGGTATTCTTCTCTCCTTAGATCTATAGTCCTTGGGTATTCTTCTTTCCTTAGATCTATGCTCCTTGGGTATTCTCCTCTGCTTAGATCTATGCTCCTTGGGTATTTTTCTTTCATTAGTTCTATACTCCTTGGATATTCTCCTCTCCTTAGTTCTATACATCCTTGGATATTCTCCTTTCATTAGTTCTATACTCCTTGGATATTCTCCTCTCCTTAGTTCTATTTATCTTGGGTATTCTCATCTCCTTAGTTTTAAACTCTTTGGATATTCTCCTGTCCTTAGTTCTATACATCCTTGGATATTCTCCTCTCCTTAGTTCTACACCTCATTGGATATTCTCCTCTCCTTAGTTCTTAACTTCTTGGATATTCTTCTCCCATGAATGTATGTGTTTGAAGTATATTTATTATATCTGTGTTTAATGATCTTTTTAAGTGCATGTATTACTTGAACCATAAAAGATGATACACGTGTCTTCTTAATTATGTTTCCCTACAGAGTAAATACTTTTTACAGGTAAAAGTTCGCTCTCCAGGTATACGGGCTTAACCACAAAATAGATTAGATAGATTTTTTTAACAAAAGAAATTGCTGTTTTTGAAGCCTATTGCAAATTAGATCTATTATATTATTATCATATTATTATTATTTATTATAGAGACCTATTATAGGTTTGGTATTGTTGATACCCATCGGAATCCAATTTGAAACGTGATTATCATTTATGATAGAGTATCATTTTGTCAAATTCAAGAAAATGTGGCGCTTGATTTTAACAGTTAGGGCCGCAACCTAAATTGCCTCGTAAGCACCCGGCCAGGACTAGGGAAGAATCAAATTTTTAAAGTCCTAAATATCGATTGCAATTTCCGAAAATTTTAGCCGTTGAACCAGACATAAGATATTATCAATATTATTTTATTGACTTCAAAAATGGAACACTTCAACACTTCAACACTTCAACACTTCAACCATTCAACACTTCACCACTTCAACACTTCAACACTTCAACCCTTCAACCCTTCAACACTTCACCACTTCAACACTTCAACACTTCAACACTTTAACACTTTCACACTTTCACACTTTAACACTTTAACACTTTAACACTTCAACACTTCAACACTTCAACACTTCAACACTTCAACACTTCAACACTTCAACACTTTAACACTTTAACACTTTAACAATTTAACACTTCAACACTTCAACACTTTAACATTTCAACACTTTAACAATTCAACAGTTCAACAGTTCAACAGTTCAACACTTCAACACTTCAACACTTCAACAATTCAACACTTCAACACTTCAACACTTTAACAACTTCAACACTTCAACACTTCAACACTTCAACACTTCAACACTTCAACACTTCAACACTTCAACACTTCAACACTTCAGCACTTCAACACTGGAAAAAATTAAAAACTTCAAAACTTCAAAACTCCTTATAACTCCGTGAATAAATACTAAAACATTTAAAAATCTATTACAAATATCAAAGGATACAATTATGCATTTGAATCTTTCATATCGCTCTTGAACGACCTTGATTTGTTGTGGTTGGGTGTCTTGGTATCACTATTTACAGAAGATGGCAAAAAAACTACTATATCAATTTTGAGAAGAAAAATAAAATGGTCACATTAATCCATGTTTCGTTACAACCCGAATACAGGATTAATACATGAATATTTAAAAATATGTCTGCAATGCATAAACTATCGATATGATAGATATTAATGAGACCTATCGGAGGCATGATATTATTGAGATAGATTAGAGGTATGATATTATTTAGAATTACTGGAGGCATGATACTAGGAAGATCTATTGGAGGCATGATATTATTGAGATAGATTGGAGGTATGATATTATTGAGATCTACTGGAGGCATGATACTAGTAAGATCTATTGGAGGTATGATATTATTGAGATAGATTGGAGGTATGATATTATTTAGATCTACTGGAGGCATAATACTAGTAAGATCTATCGGAGGCATGATATTATTGAGATAGATTGGAGGTATGATATTATTTAGATCTACTGGAGGCATGATACTAGTAAGATCTATTGGAGGCATGATATTATTGAGATAGATTGGAGGTATGATATTATTAAAATCTTTTGGAGGCATGATATTCTTGAGACAATTTATAAACCAGCGTTAGATGAATATCTATCTATCTGTTAGGAGCTAGACCGAAAATATAAATAAGAATCATTTGGAGACTTGCTAGTAATAGTATTATTTATTATTCAAGACATAAAAATGAAGACAGGATTTTTATAAAACTATTGGAGATTTTGTCAAAGAGACCTATTGCAGACATGAAATTACTAATATAATTATATTCTTAGACCTAATAACATTAAAACATAATAATTTAGGTCTATTTTAGACTCTTTTAAAAAATGATTATAGCTTTATAACAATTTTGGTAAGATTAATGGATGACATGCATAGAGAATAGAATATATATTAGAGGGGAATTTAATAGAAAAACGTGTTACTGTTTCCATACTGCAGGTGTACTTCACACATTTATGCTATATAACCTTTTGGGCCCTGGAATATCATTTTATAGAAAATCTAAAATTATTGTTAAAAGAAAACCAAATTATGAAATAGGCTGGTTTCATTATTGACCAATGATCATTTCACATAGACTCTATGCCTTTCACTTTACAAACGATGATTTTCCGTTATAACTATAAATCAAATGATGTTTTTTATTCACCTAATTCATCATAAAGTTTATTTAACAGTTTAAAAATTTCGAAATTGAAATGAATAGTCTAGGGAACATACTGTATTAATGTACTCTACTGCATATAATTTGTGAACATTTACATGATTTGTACACTTTGAACTCCCTTTCAGGCTGAAAGGGACTGAAAAAATTCATACCGAGAGATTCTTTAAATTCCCCTCTAATATATATTCTATTCTCTATGATGACATGAATTATTAATTTTCGAAAAAAAACTGAATAAAATAAGGATATCTCGAGACATATCAAATAAAATTAATTTCATGGAATTAATACTTTTTCTATTTCCAAGATCATGTTACTTTATCACGCACTATCCGCCATTTTTTTCTGAACTTTATCCCTATCCAATCTAACTCTTCAGAACTTCGAATGAAAGATGTCCCTCCCCCCTTCCCTCCCTTCCTTCAAGTGACGTCATTCCTGCGTCAAAGTGCGTATAGTGGTTGTCGAGGCCGGAGTTAATATATTTCTGCTCCGCTAGATGTAGTTTATTTCAAGTTTAGGGATAGGAATCAAGAGAAAGCGGGTGGGACACACGAATAAGTTTTTAATATTATACTGTAGGACCCATAAAACTGTGGATTAGAAAGACAACTGTGAGACTTAATGTATGATTCTAAATATTCAAATGAATATGAAACACTGGATTAGTGCAGAGTAAACAGACCCATTACACCCATAACAATTTTGATTTTCAAATTCTAGATGTACCAGTGAAATCAAGCCTCTATAATCAGCTTAAAAACCCAATCAGAATATTGCTCAAATGTCATCCTTATATTTCAGAAGTGTTGTGGGTCCCTCTGCTCAAACTGACAATACGTAAATCGTTTTAGAGGAGAAAGGAACAGAAATAAATTTTAAGAAATTGAACAAAACTAAGTTATAGGTAAGGGGTGACAATAGCTCTGGCTAAGAGGATCTTTACATCCAATATGCTCCTACGGTGCTTGCGCTGCTGGTAAAACTGCTGCTAAAGTTGCTTTCATTGATGCTGCTTTTGCAATGCAGATATATTTGATGCTACTTTTAATGCTACAATTTTACATTTTGCTGCTATTTTATCAATTATAAACGGATCAAAATTAACACAATTCTTATAAAATGACTTACCCGGCTTCACTGGCTATTGATGAATTTCTAGAATGTGTGGATGAGGGAAGATCGAACTCAGGTTCAGTTCTACGAAATAATATAATCACACAATTTCACCTATAAGACAAAGCTATACAAAGCTTCCTTAGTTCTTCTATTTTAACTTTTAATTGTTGTTTTATTTGCGGCGTTTTCTCTCCTTAAAGCATCAAACAATAAAACAGATTTTCGCGGATTAATTTTTTTTCGTGGATTTCGAAAATTCAAAGGTATTTCACATAACTTGTCACAATCATTAACCTTTAATAGTTAAAACTATGAATTCAGAGAGATAAAATAGTAAAATTTTAAAATATTAAAGGGTTCTACCGTCTCCCATGCAAACTGGATTTAAAAATTAGAGTTTGTGACAAGTGTTCAGTTCTTTTTATTGTAAAACTTACTCTACAGGGATTTAAAAAGTTATAGATTGTGGTAAGTGTTCAAAACTTACTTTACAGGGATCTAAAAATTTAAGTTTGTGGTACGATTTTCGTTCTTATTTTTGTTAAAGCTTACTTTCCACAAACTTTATTAAGTATGTAGGAAGTGCTCACATATTTTTATCGTAAAAACTTACTCTACAAGGATTTAAAGTTTGTGGGAAGTGTTCAATTTTTTTTATTATGAAAACTTACTTTACAGGGATTTAGAGTTTGTGGTAAGTGTTCAATTATAAAAACTTACTTTTTATGAATTTAAAAACTAGAGTTTGTGGTAAATGTTTAGCTCTTTTTATTGTAAAAACTTATTAATAGCGATTTTAGAACTAGAGTTTATGGTAAGTGTTTAGTTATTTTTAATATGGAACTTACTTAACGTGTATTTAAAAATAAAAGTTTGCGGTAAATGTTCTGTTTTTTTTATGCAAACTTACTTTGTCGGGATAACTAGAGTTTGTGGTAAGTGATCAGTTTTTTTATTATAAAAATTTACTTTATAAGGATAACTAGAGTTTGTGGGAAGTGTTTAGTTATTTTTATTATAAAAACTTACTTCATAGGAATAACAAGAGTTTGTGGTAAGTGTTCAGTTCTTTTAAATGTGAAAACTTACCTATAAAGAAAGCTTTCTCTTCTATGTGGATGAGATTGTGGAAGAATAAGACCTGATAAAGCTTCACTGCTTCCTCTTTCATCAATCCTGAACAATACTAAATAGAAAATATTCACAACAAGAGCTCAGGGGGGGGGGCACAATAAACTAGAGGTTCAGATTAAAATTTTAGTGTCATAACATTTTAACCCATTCACCCATTAACGTAAATTTTTGTATTTACTATTTTATACTCTATTTTAGGGGATATAGAGGTCGACAAAGATATCAGTACAATGAAGACGATTTTTCATAAATAATGCTTTCATCCCTAACAAGCATTTACAATTAAACTAAGAGCCAAGAGGTGCTGTTAATTGACAACTTTTTTGTTTGAATGTTTAAGGCTTGGTAGTAATCAAATTGAAATTAGAAGTTCGTATTTATTTTATTGATATGCAGTGGTAGGCGATGATATCAATACAATGAAGGCAACTTTTTTTTTAGTTTTGATTGTTAACAAGGTTACAGGTTACAAGTTTACAAGCAATCAAAAGAAGCTTCTCCTAACTTCTTTGTTTATGTTTATTAGCTTAACATAAATCAAAGTTAAAATCGAAAGTAGTTTTTTTTTAATTGATATAAATGCCTACCACTGTAATCTACGTCGACTGTATGTAATAAAGAATTTCAAAGTATATAAGGTCTATCTATTTGTAGAGTAACATGTTTGATTCACAGCGGTACCCTTTAAACAGTTGTCTTTGGCAAATGTGTAATTACGTGGATATTTAGCAACAAACATGGGGCCTTTAATAATAGGTTGTCTTCAAATGAGTTTCATTAAGTATCATCTCAAAAGAAATTTGAAAATAGAATAATCATTTCGTGCAAGGCTTAAAATCTCAAAGAGGACATATACTTTTATAAATGCGGTAAAAGAAAATCACGCAACCTCTGACTCCAAGTATAAACTTCGGACTCGACATTTTATTTTACAAAATAAGTATTTTCAATCTTAAATCTTGAATAAAATTCGAAGTAAAAATGTCACATGCAATAATTCATTAAACTCCACTTAAATATGTGTATTTGTATTTAGTAACACAAAAGGGACTGTTTCCGTTTTCAATTCAAAATTTTAAAATTAATATTTTTAATTTGATTCCACAAGACAGTATTAAAATAATTTACACCTGTGCTTTTTATCAAAACGCAATATATTTAAAAAAAATAAAACATGTGTATTGTGTATCAGTACCCCTTCATGTGGCCGACAGGGCAGCTCAGCAAACGGTCGAATTTAACTCGTCGGCCTGGTGGCGCCATTTTTTTCATCCAAATGTTCAAGAAAAATCTGAAATTTGTTCAATATACAACCTATCGTGATTTTCCAATTCATTCTTAAGAATAAAGCGAAGGGATTATTTGTCTTGGTTTTTCCTCAACAGTTAAAAATATAAAATATTAGATACGTTCCTTACTGCAACAAATTAAAGACGAAATTAAATCTTCTAATTTACAAATACAAATCAGTAGTTTTGTTATGATGTCCGAGCATAAGCTGCATAACTCCTGAGCCCCTGGATTGATTTGACTCACATTTTGATTGGGGAATTCGGTAAAACCACGGGAATGTTCTTTAAAAATGATAAAATAAGTGAGTTTACTTTTTTAGGGAATAATCCAGGCAAAGTAGGGTTTCTACGCAAGTTATTGTTATTAATATAGATTTTGAAATTTTATATCGATTATTGATTTTAAAATTTTCATATCAACATCTTTTGGCTTTGCCAAGTACAAGGGTGATTCTGAGAAAAAAAATCCAACATAAATTATCCTTTGTTTTTGATTTTCCGGAGCAAACTTTTCCAGCAATATGATCCTCTGCTGGAATCTATTGGCAGAGCAAATATTTTTATAAAAACTTTGTTCAGGGAAACTTGAAGGAGATAAAAATAGAATAGAATTATTTTAGGGGTTATACTTGTGGATTTTTTTAGTTGAAATAGATTGGAATCTAGAGATGGGGATCGTTATCAAAGGTTTTGAGTTTTCAGAGAATCTTATTATACTTCAAAATTGTATTCATGTAAGTTTACTTTCAAGGCATTGTGATTTGTGAAAAAATGTTTACTTTACATAAGACAAGGCAAGGATGTAATGCAAGGAAAGTTAATTGCGGTCGCGTATACTCTGCGTACATATTAAAACCAGTTCTCTTTGGGCGGAATTTGTAAACATGAATATATGCATCAGTGTTCGTTTAGTATCCGAGGAGGTTAAATGCATTAAATTTGATAATTTTGATAATTGACATAATAGTTTCCTATGATCAGAATATTTCATTGATTTTTTATGTGAAAGATGGATCCCATGTCAGGCTGTAACATCCGTCTTGTGTTTACACTACCGCCCAGAGACAGTACACTGCAGTACAAAAGATGCGTACACTTCTGAAATAATTTTCCTTGCATCACATCCTTGAGACAAGGTAAGTCCAAAACAGAAATTGCTTGGTAAAATTGCTTTATAAATTGTTATATAAAACAATTGTGTAATTTATGATCCATGTTACATGATGATCAGTGTTATAAAGTGACCATCGTAATATAATGTTAGATTAGATTAGTACTTTATAGCGCTGTCATGTTACAATTAATCGGTTTCCGGATTTTCTTAATGAATAATCTTTTCAATTTAAATGATTTTAAGATTGAGATATTAAATATTTTTATTTTTGCTTTGTCAAAAAAACATTAAAGTTTTTAAATATTTTCTCTTTATCTTGACGGCCTTCTTAGATTATAATTCGTCCCGAGAGCTTACAAAAGTTATTAAAGATTGAAAGATTCCTATAACGAATTTTTATTTTTTTAATCTTAATTTTAATTTTAAGATAGCTGGTTTAACATATATTGGTAAAAGTTTCGTTGCAAAAATAAGTCTATTTTCCCAATGCCTATGTGATGAGCTTTTATAGATTTTTTTTGCTGTAGAGATAAGGGATTTGGTTGTTTTAGTCTGAAATGAAACAAACTCAAATTGTCTTATCTCTCTATCTTTTCAACCTGATGCCGTAATCCTTTCATTATTTATTTCATTTAAATATTTCAAACTCAGATTATTTGTTCCAACAGAATTCAAAGTTTGAAATATCTAATCTCTACATCAGGTTGCAAAGATAGTATGATGAGAAAATTAGAGTTTGTAGCAAAGACTCAATTCCTTTGTCTCAAAATTGACGTATAAATAGACTCATTTTTTCATGACAATGACCCCCCTTCCCTTCAATTCCAATTGTTCACACTTGTATCTAGAACAAAGGTTTATAGTATACTGAATATAATGTATTTTAGTAGAAACATATATACAATTATATATATGGATATATCTATATATATATATATATTGTATCTATACAAGAAAGGTGTTACCCCCCCCCTTTACAAATACACCCCAATTGCGCCCTGTTCCAAGTGTGTCTCTAATCAGATAGAAATATTAATTATAGCAATTATGAATCAATTTTCAGCTTAAAATTAAAATTTGAGAAATCGTCGAAAAAAATGATGTTTTAATTTTCTATTTTTCATATTGAAAGTCTTTTTTATTTAATTGTTACGAGGATTCAATATTTTAAATAGTTTTCATTTTGTGCATAAAGTTTAAACGTTTGGCAATTTAGTTGAACATTATTAATTCATACTGTTCAACTTCGTAATTACTTTTCGTTATAATAGACTTTCTCATTTTAGTTATTTTACTCAGGTTGAACCTGGGAACCAGTTTGCTTATATTATATTAAAGGAACTGTTAACATAATTTCAAGTGACCCTCCATGCAAAGATGGCAATGCCCAACATTAAACGGTACTCTTGAAACCTTAATCTGATTAAAAATGTGTAAGACACTATAGTTTTCTGACTCGTAAGGTTTTTTTTTCTGTGATTTTCTCCAATGCTTTTTATAAACAAGAAATGCGCAAGTCACTTTGACAGAGAAACCGCAAATGAAAATAAACAGTTTACTGAATCAGAAACTTGATATAGAATTCATACTTGATCAGACAAAGCTTTTAAGGTTACCACCGTTGTTAAATGGAGAATTCCCAACTTTGCATAGCTAGGGTCCCTTTCATCAAAAATTAAACAGAGGTTAATACCTTTAATTAGTATAGCGTCATATCGACTGAAATCTATATCTACCGCGTAAACTTTTATTTAAAGGGTTTTAGTTTAATTCCTTTAACAAAACGGAAATATGATTCAAATAAACTCCCAGAGAATAGAGAGATGGTAGAGAAACCGGCTGAGCCTGTACTAAACAGATTTAAACTACAACAATTTTGACCTCCCTTTAGGGAATAGGTAAACTTATAAAAAAACGCAAAGAAAAGTTTTAAACAGTTAGAAACAAGTTTCCTGCAGAAGTTTAGGCTAGGGATACCTAATAAAACTTGTAGCATGAGATCCAAGTTAAAATGTTTTATTTTTGTTAGGATTAAAGGTTTAATCTCCTATATTCAGGTTAACTCTAGTTTTTTTCGTGCCAAAATGGAAATAAAATTCAATCAAAAATTTATATTGGTTACATACACCCTCATGAAAGTAATTCTAGTAAAGGGTGTCCCAATAAACATGAAAATTATGTGACAAATTCGAAATCATCTTTGTTAAGAATTAGCGCTGCATTACCTTATTTCAATGGTCATAATAAAGATACGTCTGCTAGAGTATATTTTATGTAAAAGGTAAAAGGCTGTTTTGTCAATCTGTAAAAACGTCGTAATTAATGTTGTGTAACATTTCTGCAAGATTTACAGTGAAGAGGAACAACTGTACTGTGTTTGTAAACTGGAAGTACAACAACAGTGTGCAACCAAAACATAAACAAACAAATTTTAAACTCTAGCATACAAAAAATCTACGGTTTACAGTTTTCTCAGTAGGTATCCATATTAAATCAAAAAATCATTCAAAAGACAATATCAAAATCGTCACTGAATTCCCATGTTTTTGGGACACCCTGTATTATAAGCTTTTAAACATCAACAGAAATAAAAAATAATAGTTAATTTAAATTCTTTTTCTAGAAATATCCTAAAC